TTCTATCTTATTTTTTTTTCTATTTATACTTAATATTCTATACTTTATATATAGAAGAATGAATAATTTTATACTATTATATTATCTTAATATTTATATATTTTAAGGGCTTCCAGCCTAGTATATTAATAAGTTAGTAATATATCTAGTACAATCTGTTGCATAGGGTCCTTACTCAGTTCAAGGGCCTACCGGGAAAACTGTCAGCTACACCAAACAGCATACTACTATTAAATTATTAATCGGAAAAAGTAGAAAGTTATATCTAATTCTATTTTTTATTAATTTATAATTTTTTAATAATATTCTTAATTTTTATAATTATATAATAATATAATATTATTTATAATAGTTTTTAAAAAATTAATATAGTCTTAACTTAGAGCCAACTATTATTATAAAAATTTTTATATATATATAATAACTATTAATAATATTTTTAAATAATTTTAAAAAAAATAAAAAAAATAAATAATAATCTACTAAAATTAGTTTTTTTTATTAATTAAAAATCTTATTAATTTTGCTAGTTGGATTATAAAAATATTTTTAATAAATATTTTTTATAAAAATCTTAAGAAAATTAAAAACATTTTTTAAATATAAATAAATTAGTAGTTATAAATTATTAAAACTATTAATAATCTTATTAGATCTATAGTTTTTATATTTATAGAAATACTAAAAATATATTTATATTAATATTATTTATTATATAAATATAATTATTATTTTTAGATTATATATAAATAACTAGTTTACTAAAATCTAAATTAATATAACTAATATTATAAATAAATTTATAGATTTAAATAATCTACTAATATAACTAGTTTTTACTAAAAATCTTATTATTTATATATAAAAAACTATAGATATTATAGTTAATTTATTATATTATAATAATAAGATTCTAATAAATTATATTAAGAAAAATATTACTAATATAAAAATAAGATAATTATTTATTATAAGATTCTTATAGATATTATATAGTCTAATAGTATAATTTTTATAATTAATAATTTAAAAAATTTTAAATGTCTTATTTATATATAGATTCTATAAAATAAGATTTTTAATTTAAATATAATAATTAAATAATATAGCTATTTAATTATTATATATAATATAAATATTAGTTATATCAGCAGTAAAAAATTTATAAAATAATAAAACATTTTAACTAGAAAAATTAAAATTATTAATATTAGTTATCTAATTATAATATTTATTAAGATTATATATATTAATTAGATATAGCTATAAATATTTTTATTGAAAAAATAAGTTTTTTATATTAATTATTAAAATAAATAATCTAAGTATAATAAATATTTTTTATAGAGATTTTATATTTAAAATGAATTGTTTAATATTAGTTATTATAATTATAATTAACAGTTTTTATAATATTTTAAATACTAGAGATATAGTTATATTAAGTAATATTATTAAAAAAACTAGATTTATATATATTATACCAGCTTATATAAATTAATAGACTATATATTTAGAAATAATAAAATATATACTAAATATATAAACTGTAGATTAAAATATCTTATTTTTAATTATATTTATATAAAAAAAATAAATTAAAAACTATTTAGTAGTATTAGCTAAATATTTTTATATTATATATTAAGCCTTTAATTAGTAATAATACTACTACTATTTAAATTATTTTTAAGTTTAAAACTAGTTTTAAGCTTATCTGATTATAATATATTTATAGCTATTTTATAATAATCCAGGCTGCAGCTGCTTGCAGTAAAAACTATTATAAATTAATTATTAAAAAACTAAAAATCCCGGCTATAAAAGTTAAAATTATAACTAAAAATAATTATGAAAAATAATTAAAATATTATAAAAATTAATATTTATAGTTAAAGCTTATTTATTAATAATATTCTAATACTACTAATTAAAATAACTTTAGTTTTTAGTTTTAATAATATTATAAATATATTTAAGTTTATAATCTAATATTATAATAACTATCAAAATTAGTTTATTATTTTAAATAAGAATTATAATAATAAATTTACTATTCTTACTTTAAATATTATTAAATCTTTAATTATAAGTAATAAATAGTTATTATAAACAGCTTAAAATTATATAAATTAACGGTTAGAAATCTAATAATATTATAATATATTTTTTTAATAAAAGGAAAATATAGAATATAAAATTAATTATTATTGAAAAATTCTAAATAAATTATTAGAGCAGCTAGATAATTATATATTTTTAGATTTTAAAAAAATCTTTATTTATTAATAAAATTAATATTAAATATAAGACTTACTCCGCGGGTCTATTTTTTTATAAGTAAATATATTAATTTAAAAATATAAACAATCTAATATTAATTTTAGTTTTTTAATATTTTTATATTATAAATATTAAAAAAAACTATATTTATATTTATAATACATACTAGTCCGGTAAAAACAGCAACTAATATAAAATTAAAAAAATTAAATAGATATTTAAATCTAAAAATAAAAGTTTTTATAAAAAAAATAAATCTAATATCTAATTTATTTTTTATAATACTATAAAGCTATCTAAATATATAGTTTTTAAAAATTTTAATTTATATTATTTATTTTAAAATCTACTAAACTATATTTATATAAATAATATAACTATCCAGCTATTAAATATTATTATTAATAACAATCTTAAGCTGTTTCTACTAGAAAAAATAGTTATATATAAAAAAATAATATTTATAGTATTATTAATCTAATATAGATTATATAATAGTTTAGAAAATATTTCAATTATTATAATTTATAAAAGAATGAAGAGATTAAAATTAATTATATATTAATATATATTATATTTAATTTTACTTCTACTATTATTTTTATTATAAAGAAATAAAATTAAATTAATATAAATTAATAAATCTATTATAATAAACTAGCTAATTAATTATAACTAAAACTAATTATTAATTAACTAACTAAATTAATTATTATTAATATAATAATAAAAGATTTTGTTAAAATTTTAATTATTATTATTAAAATTATTATATTAAAAAAACCATTATTAAATATTTTAAATCTGGCTATAAAAAAATAAAAAACTTAAAATATTATATATAATAAATAAAAGAGTAGACTAAATCTGACTGTTATATAAACTATAAAATCTACAGCCGAATCTGTAATATATCATATTAATAAACTATCAGATAAAAAAAAATATCTTAAAAAAATATGAAATATTTTATTAAAAAATTTTAAAAACTAGTGTGTTAGATTTATATATATAAAAATCCGAGGTTTATATTTATATTTATATTATAATTACCAACTGGAAAATTAATAAAAAAAATCTAAGATTAGAATCAAATTTTTTTAATAAATTTTATTTTTAGCTATTAATGTAGCACATCTTATTAATATTAATAATTGTAAATATTTTAAACTATATAAAATATTTTAAATAATTTTTTATAAAATATATTGTATAATTTAGTAAGCTGTATTTAAAAAAACTTCTAAATCTAATAAATTATCTAATCTAGTTTTTTAACAAGTTCTCTTTTTTATTAAATATTAATTAAGTAATATTTTTAATATATATCTAAATATAGACTATTATTTCTAATATTTTTATTAATCGACTATTATTATTATCTATAAATTTAATAAAAATAATTATATTATATTTAAAAATTATTAATTAATTACTTTATTTTATGTATTAAATAAGATTCTTAAATTAATTATTATTTTTCAAATTAGCTACATAATAGAAACTTTTAAACTATTCTTGAAGTACTATATTAATAGATATTAAAAAGAATTTTCTTGTTGTTGATATGCTGGGCTGAAAGCCCTTAGACGTGAAGATGTTAAGATGATATAATAGTATAAAGTTATTAATTCCTTTTATATATAAAGTACAGTATATTAAGTATAGAAAGATAAAAATAAAAAAAAAAGTAAAACAGAAGAAGTAAATATATAAAAAAAATAAAATATTAAGACAGTTAATAAATAGTTTTCTTATTTTAATAACAATTTTATTACTTGGAATAGTCTAAGATATTATTAATATTACTATTTTAATTAAAAGAGGCTTTGTCTAAGTTTTTAAAGATTTTATTTTTATTTTATACTTCGAATTCTTTTTCTTTTTTATTTATAATATTTTTAATAATATTTTTTAAAAAATCAATAAGTAAAATAAATTTTTAGAGTACTATCTAATAGCTAGTAGCTATTTTATTTATTTAGTCTAATATTATAACTACTATAGTTAGATTTAGAGTAAGAGAATATTAGTTATTTATAAAAATAATATTTTATTATTTTTTATTTTTTTAATTTATATTAAAAACTTAATCAATAATTTTTATATTAGATTAGTTCTAATTAATATAGTAATAAAGACGGTTTTAATTTCGACTATATTATAGTCTATATATTAATATAATATATTTTTTTATTATAAATTTATTTAAGTTTTAAAATCTATTAACTTTATTTTAAATCTAATTATTTAAATTTTAATAGCTAATATTTTTTTAGAAAATTAATTTATTGGTCTTCTACTATAGAAACTTTGTATATTTATTTAGATCTAAAAATAATATTGATATTTTTTTTATAATATAAAATATAAATTTTATTTTAGTAGTTTATATATTTATTTTATTTTTTAGCTTAAATAGCCCGAATTTAATATCTGTTTTATAAAATATATTAAATACTTTTATCTAGAATCTGTTTTTTTTAAATAGTCTAAGTTTAATACTAGTTTTACTAGATATTTTAATAATAATATTAGATATTTTAAATATAAAAGTTTTAGATGTAGATATATCTAAACTCGCAGATACAGATATTTAAAATTATTATATAATAATTTAAAAAATCTATTAGACTTTAGTCTTAATTCTAAATAAATATATTTTAAATATATTAATATTAGTTTTTACTAATATCTTATTTTTATTAATAGTATCTATGTCGACAGTCTGGTTGGCTTAGTTTATATTTATATTAAAAAAATATAGAATATAATTAGCTGTAGATAGTTTAAAAATAGATAAAATAAGATTTTTTTTTATTATTAGAATTTATATTTAATCGGGTACTATATAATTAATTATTTTTATTTTTATAAATATTATTATTTAGTATACCGACCGAGAGTTTAGAAGAAATCTAATTTAAAAAAATAAAAAAAACTATCTTCTTATTATTCTTATTATAAATATAAATTATAATAAGATTATTATTATAGAAATACTAGGTATTTATTTTATTTTAATTTATTTAATTTAGCTTTTTCTAGCTATTTTAGTTAATAATATTATAGCCTGTTGTAAGAATATATATCTATATTTTATTCTAAATATTCTGGATATTCTTAGATTTTATAATATAATATTTAATTTATATATTATTTTTAGAAAAATTATTAGTTTTTATATCTTATTATTCTGCTAGAAGCTATAACTGCTAAAAATAGCCGGTCTTACTATAAAGAATATATTTTTTATATATTATTGAATATTATTAAAGCTTATAAATATAAATTATTATAATTTTATCTATTACTACTCTTTCTACTTAGATTAGGTTTTTATAAATAAAATCTATATTATATTTAGCTTATTCGGCTGCTGATAACAGTTTATATATTATATAAATAAATTAATTAAATAGATATATATTATAAAATAACTATTTTTTAAATAATTAGATTTTAATATTTTATTATAAAAAGTCTTTAAGTCTAAGTAGCTTAATTATATTCCATTTATTTTACCTTATTATTTTTTATTTTTTTAAGAATAGATATAACTAGATTCTTATTATTAAGCTTCTAAGCTCTAATATAAATATTTTTTTTATTTACTTTAGTATATTATTTTTGTAGAGCTGGGAGTATAATATTAAAAAATACAACAGTCTTAAAAATAAATAAAAATTCTAATATATTAAATAATATTTATAGTATCTTAATAAAAAGATAATAAAAATATATATTATAGAGCTTAAAAAATAAAAGTATAATAAAAAAATATATAAGATAAGAATTTAATAAAAAAATATAGAATTTAGTAGAGAGGAAGAGAATAAATAAAGTAAATAAAAAAATAATTAAAATATTATAATAATTAGAAAAAAATAAGAATATAATAAAAAAATATATAAGATAAAAATATGATAGAAAAATATAAAACTTAATAAAAAGAAAAAAAATATATAAAATAAATAGAAAGATAGTTAAAATACTATAGTAGTTAGAAATATTAGATATAACTTATTTTAAATTTTTTAATTAGATCTATTATATTAATATTTTTTTATTTATTTATTTATTTTTTTAGGACTATATTCTATAAATTAAATAAGATATTTAATTATTTTAGAACTATTTTTTTTAGTTGACTGTATGCTAATCTGCTTATAAGAATATACTTAATCTGATATTTATTTTTTATTTTTTTATCTTTATTTTTTTATATTACAGACGGCTAAATATACTATTAGTTATATAAATCTTTAATTTTAAATACTAGTTCCAGCTATACTATTAAGATTACTAGATATATCTACTAGTTTAATAAAATATTTAGACAATAAATAAGTTTTTTAATCTATTTTAGAATATAAAATAAACCGGTATATTAATAACTAAGTTTATTTTTAATAATTTTTATCTTACTTATTAAAAAATTATAGTTTTTATAAAGTCTTAGATATACTTTATCTTTAATATTAAATTTTATAAACTAATAATTCTTATTATAGATATATTTTATTTATATAGCTGTAAATTTATATATTTGTTTAGTATCTAAATATAGCTTAAAGTATTATTTTATAAGTAAATATCTAGTTTATATCTATAGATTATTTAAAGATATTTTATATATAAGATTATATAAGCTTATTTTTATAGTTATACTAACAGAACTATTTATCTAACTAATAATTTAAGATAGAAATTATATTCAGTAAATTTAATAATTTTATATATATATATATTAAAATATAATTTTAATTATTTGATTTATTTTTTTGTCTGTCCGTCTGTTTATAGATAATATATAGTAGAATAATATTATTTTATATTTAACTTTTTAAATATTCTAAACTAAAAGTTGCTGAAAAATCGGATATTATAATTAGATATAAAAATATAAAATAAGCTTTAATTATATTCTTAAAAATATAATATTAGCTAGTATTTTTAGAAGAATATAAATTATTATATATATTTAAATATTAGATTTATTTACTTAGTAAATTTATTAATAAAAACTATAAACTAATTATATTTATTTAGGATATTTATATTTATAAAATCTATAATATTTTTAATATTTATATTTATAGTATTCTTAAGCTTATATAGTAGTAGATATTTAACAGCCGGCAGACTAATAATAAAATTAATTATTATTATATAAAATAAGATTATTAAAAAACTTATTAATTAAGAAATATTAAAAAACTTATATTTTTATATATAATTATATAAATATTTAGAATAATAATATATATACTTATCGAGCATAGCACGGTCTTAGTATAATATAAGATTTTTTAGTATAATACGATATTTATTAATTTTTTAATATTTATAGTAGTTATATATTATATAAAAAAGATTTTTTATAAAACAGCAGAATATATACAACTAAAATTCTTAGTATAATTAGAGTAAGTTACTAATATTTAAAAAAATTATAATATTCTTAAATATAAAAAAAAACTGTTTTTATATATATATAAAAAAACTATTTTAGAATTATTCTATAGTATTTAAATAATATAAGATACTCTGATATTTTTTAAATAAATTATATAAATATATTTTTTAAAACTATTTAATAATAAAATTAATAAGATATTATATTCTATTACTTTATAGTAATATATTAGTTGGTAAATATTTAAAAAAATAATATAATATCTTCTTATACTACTACTAATTCTGTTTTAAAAAGATTATTAAGATTAAATAATATATAAAATATATTCTTAGCTAGAAGATAGAATAGTATATCTATAAAACTATTTATTTTTTCTAATTTATAGTATATTTATAAATAATATTCTTATATAAATTAAGATATATAAATAAAATAAATATTTAGATATTTTAAAACTATTATATTAAATATTATTTTTTAAGTAAGATTTATAGTATTTATATAGTTTATATATATAATTATTAGTATATATATAATTTTAAGATAATAGTAAGTTTTATAGATTATTTATATAAAATAAAATACTTTAAGCTTTATTAACTAATAATTATATCTATAAATAGTAAAAGATCTATTAAAAAATAAAACTAGTTATATTTAAGTATATAAAAACAGCTTTAATAGTTTATATAATTTATTTTAATTAATATAATATAAAATAATACTATATTCTTTTTATAAAATATCTAGATTAATATATAATTAATACTTAGATTAAAAATATATTAGTATTCTATTTATATTTTTATTACATTTTATTTATAGATTATTAAATATAGTAAGCTTATTAGATATTAGTATTTATATAATATTATTAGAGTATATTTCTCGGCTTTAGTTTTTTTAGTTTAGTGAGTTTTAAAAAAATATTATTTTTTTATTTTAAAATAGCTATATATAATAGTATACTATAGTATTTAATACTATAAATAGCTTATAATACTAAGATAGTATTTTAAAACTAATAATATATTAAAAAATAAAAAGAATTATATTACCGCCAGCTTTTTTTTTAAAGTAAATAGACTAAAACTATTAACTTATTAGTCTAATAACTATATAAATAAAAAAATTATAAAAGTCTTAGTAAACTTAAGCTTAATATTTATTATCTTAAAATATTTAAATACTTAATATAAATACTTAATATATATATTAAAACTAATTAATATAATTATTAGATTACTAATATATATTTTATAAAATACTTGAAATTTCTTAAGATTAAGATTTATTTATCTTTGAATATATAAAACTAAATTAATAAATCCTATAATTATAATATAAAAAACTTTTTAGTCTTAATATATTATAACTATAAGATAATTATAATATATATATTTAATAAACTATTAATAAAAAGATTTATAAATATTAACTATTATAATATAAATATATCCGGCTATTAGCTAAATAATATTATCTTATAATAAGACTAGATAAAAATCTAATATAATTTTTTTATTTACTTCTTACAGATCTATCATTATATATTTTTTTACTATTTTTATATATTTATAATTAAATTAATTATTATTTTTTAGATTATAAAAATAGAATATACTATTAGAATATGATTTTTAGTAAAAAATATCTTATTTTAAATATATGAAAAATCAAATATTTTATTAATTACTTTCTAATCCTATTTACTAATATAATACATATATAGTTTAAACAGCTTGATATTTTTTTTATTAATATTTTTAATTATTAATTTTTAAATATATTTATTATTTTAATATTAGATCTATTTGGCTTAGCTTATATATTATATTTATTAATTATCTCTATAAGACGGCTAATAGTTTTAGAATTTTTATTATAAATAACTTAATCTATTAATAGTATAATAGTATTCTTTAAAACTAAATATAAGAATTTATAGTCTTTAATTAATTTTTTATATTTATATTCTATGGTTTTTTTATTACTAATTCTATTATTTTTATATTCACTATTTTAATATTAATAACATTTTTGTTTTTTTTTACTTAGTAGAAGTTAATCTTCTTATAACTAAAACTTTCTTATTTTTAATTAGAACTTTCTTATTATAACTGTTTTTAAGGTTAACAGTATATATTAATTATTTCTTAATATATATATAATATATATTTTTTAGTAAACTATAAATAAAACAGTACTACTAATATCTATTAAGATTAATTAGATTAATATATTTTAATTTATTTATATAATATAATAATTATTTTAAATTATGTTTATCTAAATAGTATACTAGCTCTGCTATATAGTCTTCTATTTAATATATAATAATATATTTATTATTTAAAACTATTTTCAACCTGGTATATCTAGCTATTATTATATTATATAAAATTTATTTTATAGCTTATATAAATACAAAATCTAAATTAACTAAGTATATATAAACTATAAGATTTTTTTATAATAAAGATTTAAAAATATAATTTATATGTTATAAAAGTTCTATTTTAATATAAATAAATATATATACCATATTATATACTAGTACTACTATATACTTAGCTAAATAAATTAGTATGTTTATTTATTTCTTAGTTTATACTTTAATATTAATTAGTATATTTTTATAGTCTTTTAAATATATTTTTTAGTAGTAGTAGTTAAATAAAATATCTTCGCAGTTAATTATATTAGTATCTATAAATATATTAGTTTTAAACTTAGGATTATTTATAATAAATATTTTTATAATAATACAGCTGTATTAATACTTAATATTAAACAGCTTAATTAAAGAACTAATATTCTTCTATTTTATTATTATTTTAAGAAAGTATATCTAAAGAATAATATATTTAATAATAGTATACTTAGATCTAATATTTATAATATAAATATTTTTACTAATAGAATAAAACTTAATATTCTTTATACTAAAAATAAATATTTTACTAATAAAAGTTGAATTATATTCTATATTAAAATATATTAATTAAGAATTAGTTTTTTTATTAATATCTACTATTATAGTTGCTGCTTGCTATATATAAAGTATATTAATATTAATATTTTTCTTATATTTTATTAAAATAAATATATTATTAAAAAACTTAATATATTCTGATATAGTATTCTTTCTTATAAATAATATAATATTTAAAAATATAAATAAAAGATCTTATAATAAAATATTTTTAAGTTTTACTAAATTAGCATCTCTCTATTTTTAGTTATAAATCTTCTAATCTTTTAATATATTAAAATCTTATATTTTTATGTTTTTTATTACTAAATAGGGGCTTTGTTGTGGCTCTGTGACTACAGTCTCAGTTTTAGACTTTATTTATAATATATTTAGTACTATTAGTATTAGAGTTTTTAAAAAGTCCTCTACTTCTATATTTCTTGCTATTATATATAAAATATACTAATACAGCTTATTATAAGATATAAAAATAGTATAATAGTAGTTATAAATTACTATAAATTTATTAGATTTATTATAAAATAAAAAAGTAAGATATATATAATTATTTTTATTTTTATAATTATAATACTACTTTTTATACTTATTATTATAATAATTATTATAATAAATATTAATTTAGTTTTTATAACTATTATATTTTTTATTATATTATAATATATATTATCAAACTTATTATATATAGTAGGATTAATTAAAATAATATATAACTATAGCTAAAATTAATTATTATTTTAAATAAAAATTTAATATATCTGTTATAATTTATTTATATAATTCTAAAACTGCTTATTATTTTTTATATTAATACTTCTAGTTTTTATTTTAGTTTAAAAACAGTTAGCTAAAAATAGCTATTTAAAATATAAAAACTACTATTACAGCTACAGCTACAAATTATTCTATTTTTATAAATTCTATTTATTTTAAAAAAAATATTTATTATTTTAGTTGTTAGTATTTATATTTATATTAATAAGCTAAGACTTTTTAGAATTAAAATTATTATTATACTGATTACGACTGTACTAGAATATATAAAAACTTTTAAAAAAATAATCATTATAATTATTATAATTATTTTTATATCAATTTTTTTAATAGCTTTAATAGTTATTCCGATTATTAAAGCAACTCTAATATATATTATTAAAATATTATTTTTTTTAATAATTATTATTATAATAATTATTACTCCTATATAAATATTTTACTAAATATTCTATTTATTATCTGATTATCTTTACTAAAGAGATATCTTACTGTTAAGACAGCCAAAAAATTCGATTATTATAATAATTTATATAAATAGATTAATACTAGCTGTAAAATTAGAATAAAAATATATTTATATTAATATTAACTAGTTATAAATATTATTAATATGGAAGATCTTATAATTATATATAATATTTTAAATAAATATCTAAATAAACTTATTTTAATATATATCTACTTATCTATAATTTATAATAGCTTGCAGATAAATAAATACTTAAATATTATGAGATTTAAATTTAATATAAAGATTTTTGAATATTTTATTTCTTAAAAATATATATATATATATATATCTTTTCTATATTTACTAAGTATAAGATACTAGTTTAGAATTACTTTTTAAATACAACCGATAATACTTACTTATACTACAGATTCTTAATATATATAAATTATATTTTTAATATAGTTAATAAAAAGAATAATATTCTTAAAATATATAATATATTTTTATTATTTAAAAAATTAATCTATTTTTATATTAAAAAAGAAATAATTAATATTATCCGATTTTAAAGCCTAGGTATACTAGATTAGTTGTCTTTTTTTTATTTTTTCTATTTTTATTTTAGTCTATATATTCTTTTTAATTATATTAATCACGTTTCTATTTAAAAATCTAAAGATATTAGTTTATATTTTTTAGCTTTATTATAATATTAGTAAGCTGTGGTTAAGCTTAAAACTAAACTATATTATCTTATTTATTTTTTATTAGATTATTTTTTTATATTTTAAAAAATTTTAATTTTAATATTTTAATAGTACCTTTATCGGGATTCTCTGTATCAGGAACTTTTATAATAGTTTTTTAGAACTTTATTTTTCTAAAAATTCTTATAAATATAATTAGATTAAAGAATATAAAAAAGTTAAATAATAATAGAATAAAAAAAATAAGTTAAAAAATTCAATAAAAAATAAAATAAAAAATAAAAAAAAATAATTTCTTAGATTACTTATCACTGTTTAAGTATATTAAAAATAAGTACTTATTAAATAAAAAAAATAGTAGACTTTTCTTTTCTATAAATATTATAAATCTGGATATAGTTGGAGAAGAGAATAAAAAAAAAAAACTATAAATACAAATAAAAAAAATTATGATCAGATAATATTTTTACTATAATTAGTAGAATAAAAAAAAGACACTTTATAAAAATAATATAACTTAGATTTAATAAAAATATATAAAACTTATATAAATAATAGAAATATTTCTAATATCTATTTTAGTATCTATAAAACTAAACATCTTAGTATCTCGTTAAAATCCTTCTATAAAAAATCTATAAAAAAATATTAAGTCTTCTAATATCTAAGATCTTAATATAAAAAAATCTATAGTTATATTTTTTAAAAGCTTTAATAATATAATACTAATTAATCTTAATCTAATATATCCAAATAGCGTATTCGGATTAATACTAAATACTAGTTATTTAACTAGTTAAAATATATATACTAATTCTAAAAATAGAAATTCTATAAAATATTTAAGATTTTAAATAGCTTTATTAAATACCGGACAGTTGATTTTCTAGTTAGATAAATAAAAAATAATATCTATAGATCTTAGTAATTTTAATATTTAAATAATATAAACTATATAGTATATTATATTTTTATCTAGCTGCTAGATATAGCAGCTATTTAATATATTATAATATATTATAATCTAATATCTAAATTCTATATATCTTAGTATTTTTATATTTTTTTTATATAAAAAAATAGTAATATTATCAGACAGAGATATAAATAGATATATAAAATTAATAATTAGAAAAAACGGTCGGATTCCCAGTCTTTATATTATTAAAATAAGATATAAGCTCGGTAGAAAAAAAATATTAATATTTAAAAAAATAATTTCTAATACTCTAAAAAAATATATCTAAAAAAACCTAGGATTATACTAGATATACTATTAACTTATTATTAATATACTAGGCTGGAAGCCCTTAGATATAAAAATATTAAAATAATATAATAATATAAAGTTATTAATTTCTTCTATATACAAAATACAGTATATTAAGTATAGAAAGATAGAACAAACAAATAAGAAACAAATAAGAAAGAAATAAGATAAAAGAAGTAAATATATAGAAGGAATAAGATGTTAGGACAGTCAATATTTATAATTATATTTTATATCTAATTCTTAAATAGATTTATATCTCTACTATTATATACAAAAATATTATAATTTAATTAGAAGTTTAATTTCTCTGTTAGTTTTAATCTAATTTTCTAAAAACAGGCTTAATTAATGCAGAAAAAATCAGTTTTTTTAATTATATAATTTTTATAGATCTATTTTTCTATTTAAAAAGAAGAAGACTATTATTAAAAAACTAAAAAGTTACAGGATTTGGCTTTACAGCCTGAGTTTTTTATATTTTTTAAAGTTTTAAAGTTTTATAAATAAATTAGATTATTTATTATAAATTAATATTATTTTTAGTTTTTAATATAAAAAATTTAATTTTTAATATTTTTTTTAAAGTTAGATTTTGATAGTTTTTTATGTAAAAACCTACTCTATTTTTACCCGGCTGATTTAATAGTTTTATTCTATTAAAATTTTTATACTTTTAGTCCTAAATTATATGACTTTTAATATTCTATTCATATATAAATTATTCTATAAACCATTCTGCAAACTTATTTGCAAACCATTCTACAAACCATTCTATAAACAGCTTTATAAACAGCTTTATAAACAGCTTTATAAACAGCCCTATAAACGGCCCTGCGAACAGTCCTGCGAACCACCCTGTAAACCACCCTACGAACAGCCCTACAAACAGCCCTACAAACGGCCCTACAAACCATCCTGCTAACGGTCCTGCGAACGGCCCTGTAAACAGCCCTGCGAGAAACAGCTCTGCTAATAGTCCTACCAACGGCCCTGCGAGCAAGCCTGCGAGAAACAGCCCTGCCAACAGCCCTGCGAACAGCCCTACCAACAGCCCTACTAACAGCCCTACCAACAGCCCTACCAACAGCCCTACCAACAGCCCTACCAACAGTCCTACCAACAGCCCTACCAACAGCCCTACCAACGGCCCTACCAACGGCCCTACCAACAGCCCTACCAACGGCCCTGCCAACAGCCCTGCCAACGGCCCTGCCAACAGCCCTACCAACGGCCCTGCTAACGGCCCTGCCAACGGCCCTGCCAACAGCCCTGCCAACAGCCCTGCCAACGGCCCTGCCAACGGCCCTGCGAGCAAGCCTGCGAGGCAGCCCACCCTTCCATACACCGAGCGTAGCGAGGGCCTAAGGCTTGTTATATAATAAACTAATTATTTTATGATTAGTTTATTCATAATTAATATCTAAAATGTCTATAATAATATTATATATTTATATCTTTTTTAATAATCTATAGAAATACTGTATACTGACTAAAATTATTGATTAGATTATTTTTTCTATTAACCGGCGAATCGCTATTACTATATAAAAAAAATTATAAAAAAATATAATTATAAATATTATTATTAATTTCTATTTTTATTTATTTTTTATTTATTTTATAATACTAATCTACTTAAACTATTTTTTATAAATAGTTATATTTTAATTATTAGCTATATAAATAATATTTATATATTAGTATAAAAAATATCATTTTTAAAAATTATATTTATTTATAAAGATTCTATTATCATATAAAAACTTAATAATATTAGTAGATTTTAATATTCTTATTACTAAAGTATAGTTTTATTAATATAGTCTAAAGATTACTTTATATAAAAATATTTTTAGTTATATAATTAAGTAAGCCTTTAACTGTTATAAATATAATAATTAAACTAATATAAAGTCTCTGTTATTTAAAGATTTTTTTAATCTTAAATTTATTAAAACTATTTATTTTATTTTATTAAAAATTAAAAGTACTTAACTAATAATTATATTACTATTAATTATAGATTTTATCTAAAATATACCTACTACTAATTTATATTATATATATACTATAGTTCTAATTTTCTAGCTGTTTTTTAAATATTTTATTTAATTTATTTAAAATATCTAAGGCTTTTAGAAGACTATTATTAATATTATAAAATATTTTAAGAATATTTAATATAAAGCTTTATACTATATAATAAAAGTTTTTTATATTATTATTTAAACTATTTTTAAAATATATCTTAATATTTTATTATTATAAATTCTAATTAAATAAGTTATTAAAAATATTTACTTTTAGATTATAATATTATTATTTTATTATTAAATTCTATTTTTAATTCAATAAATCTATTCTAATAAATACTACTCTGATAATCTGAAAACTAATCTAATTATATTATTATTAAATTATCTAAAATACTAATTAATTTAAAATCTTAGACTTAGTCTAAATATATTAATATTTATTAAAGTTATTAAACTAGTATTACTTTTATTATAATAATAGCTTTCTATTATTAATATTACTAACTTTAAAAAAAGAACCTTTTAAAAATATGTTATTTTATTTTTTATTATTTTTTTATATATATTAACGGTAGCAGCTATTTTACTAATTTATAAAAAAAATTAAATTATATAAATTAGCTACCAGAATATTTATATAGTATATTCTATAAAACTAATTAATATAAAACCTATTTTAATTTTTATTAAAAAAATTTAATATATTTATTTATATAAATATTATTTTTTAAATAATATTAACTTTAGCTATTTTGAAATCTAAGTTATTAATAGTTTTTATTAATAATTAAATAATTATATAAATCTATACTAGGCTTTGGTATTAATTAGAATAAATAATTATTAGATAAATAGTTAACTAGTTTAACTATATATAAAAAACCAGTTAGTAAATATATTTTTAATAGTTTTTAAATTATAAAAATATATTAAGTAATATATTAATAAACTAATATATTAAGTAATATATTAATAAACTAATATATTAAGACAGCAGCTTTCTAAAGTATTAACTAATTAATATTTTTTACAATAATCTTTATTATATATTAGTATTTTTAAAATTTAATTAATTAGTAATAAAAAACTAATTAAATTAATAATTTATATAGTTTTTATATTTATTATATTTTTATTAATATAATAAAAAATAAATATATTTTTAGTTTATATATAGATTTATACTGGATATAATTTTTAATACTAGTTTTAATACAAATTAATAAAATTATTCTAAATATTTATTTAAATATTATTAAAACTATTAAATTAATTCTATATTTTTATAGATAAAGATTCTAATTAGTTAAACATATTCTTATTAAATATTTAAAATATAATCTCTTTTATTAAAATATTCTTTAGATTAAGAAAAAACTTACTAACTTTTAGTATTTTTTAAAAAAATAATAATAAAATAAATTGTTGCAGTTTCGGTTCTTTCAGATAAGGTTCAATTAACTTTCACTTTTCCATACAAATTGTGTGTGAAAGTGAGGTGAAAGTAAAATTAAAGTAAAGAATTATAAAATCAGAAAAATTAAAAATTAGATAAATAAAAAGATAAATAAAATAACAAATTTAATACATAATTCTAATTAATAGAACTAAACTAAACTGAATAAAAATAATCGAAAATATTAGATTATTTAAAATATTTGTTTTATTTCTTAATTTTTTAAATAGAAAACTAGAAATATTTAATAAATAGAAGTAAGAATATAGAAATAGAATAAATAAAACAGACTAGAATAATAGCTTTTATTTAAATAATTAAATTAAAAAAATTAAAACTTAGAATTTTAATATCTAAATAATCTTCTAGTCTGATATACTTCTGCAGTTTAAAAGAAATAATAATTTTTATTAAAATTAAAATAAATAAATTAATTAAATAAATAAAGTAAATAGAATACTAGCATAAAAAATAAATAAATAATTAAATTCTTATTATATTAAGTTATTAAATAAAATATTAGTACTTCTAACTACTAAATTATTTAGTTAGACTCTTTATTTTTATTTTATTAATTAAAATCTAATAAATATTAATAGTCTTATTTAGGACTTTCTGTCTAAGCTAGTAATTAGCTATATTAATATCTTTTAAACTAGTCTAAAAAAAATAGAATTAATTAATATTTAAATTATTTAAATATTATTATATAATATTAAAAGACAGTATTTAGAATTAAATTCTATTTATATAATAAATTATCTTTACTAAAAAAGTTATTTAGCTGAAATAGTTAGAGTTAATAGTTTTATTTTAATTATTAAAAGAATTATATAATATTATTTCTTATTTAACTAATTAATTGGTTTATTAAATAAATAAATAATATATTCTATTAAGCTAGTATAATCTAAATTATTACTAAAACTAGTATTATTAGTTATATAAAAAACTATTTATTTAAAATTAGAATTATATTTAATAGTTAGATTTTTTATTTCTTTTAAATAAAGAATCAGTTAATCTATTATTTTAAAATATTTAGAGTTTAGATTAATTAAATATTCTATAAATAACTAATATAACTTAGTAATATTAGGTCTAATTTAGATTATAGAATATAAAACTAATTCTATTTTCTATTAAAATTTATAAATTTAATTAGCTAAGATTTTAAAAAATAGATTTTTAATCAATTTTTTATTTAGAAGTAGAGATTTAGAGCTTTAAAGATATTTTAAAGTAGACTAATTAATAATTTTATTAATATAATTCAATTATTTAATCTAAAGCTTTTTATTTTAGTAATTATATAATATCTAAATATTTAAAAATAATATAGATTTACTACGATTTTTTATTTTAAATAATATTATTAATTCTTACTTAAATTTATTAAATTCCTTGCGATTTAATTAGTAAAATATATAAATCATATTATTTATAAAAATTAATAAAATTAAAAATTTATTAATATAAATATATTAATCTTTTTTAATGAAAATAAGCTCTAGGACTTTAAATTTTATTTTAAATATTTTTATTATAAAAATAAAGACTGTTTTAGTCTATATAAAACTTTCTATAAAAAATAAACTATTTATTTATTTTTTAATTTAAATAATATATTTATATAGATCTTCTTTTAATAAAATTATTAAAAAAGACAGTAACTATATTTAACTAATATATTTTTAGATTAAATATAATAATTAAAACTAAAATAATTTTTATAAATTTAACTATAAGTGTACTAGTACATATTTTTAATTAATTAGATATTTATAAATTATTTTATATATAGATATATACTTTAAAACCAGTTAAATAATCTTTTTTATTAAATTTATAAATTTATATTTATTTTAGTAAAAGGATTTTATTTTTAATATTATATATTAAATATATAATCCAAATACCTAAGATATTTAATTAATTAAGTCTTATTTTTAAAGTTTAAATAAACTAAAATAAATAAAAATAATTTATTAATCTTTTCTAGTTCATAGAAGATAGTAGAAATTAATTCTTATTAATATATAAAATTTATTTATTAATATAATTAATTCTTATTTAGATTATTTATAAAACTAGTTTTTCTAGAAATAATTAATTTAATCGAATAATTTAAAGCAGTAGTATTTTAGGTTTTTAATTAATTTAATATTAAGAAAACTAATTTTTTTAATAGGACTTTAATTAATAAAAATATTATTAATTAAAACTCTTAACAGTAAAATAGATAATAAATAATCTAAAGTAGATAGCAAATCTTTAAAAACTAGATTTTTTAAAAATTTTATAAAATTATATAATAAAAATTAATTTTTTTCAGATACTTTTTCTATATTATATAATTTATTATATAATTTACTTGAGTTATCTGGTCTTACTTTAATAAATTTTTAATATTTAAATTATTTAATTAAAATAGTTTTTAATTAATCAATTTAATATCTAATTATTTAATTTAAATAGAATCAATTATTTAAGCAAGTTGCTGATTACTTAATATATATTTTAATTTAAAAGTTTATTAATAATTAGAATTCTTATTAAAAATAATTTTATATACTAATATTATATATCTTAGGATTAAAATCTAAATTTACTAGATATTTAAAATTTTATATCTAATTAAAAAACTAATTAAAATTTTAAATTCTAGCTTATCTTCTTTAGAAAGATTACTAATTCTAATATAAATATATAATTTATATTTTTTTAAATAAAAAAAATCTAGTTATATAACTAAGAAAAGTATTATAAAAGACTTTTTTATATAATCTTTTATAATATTTTTTAATTAAACTATTTATTTAAAATTCTATTTAAAATATAAATAGCTGTTTCTATTATTTTAGGCTAAATAAATAGAAAAAACTCTAAATTAATCAATAAATATTTTATTTTAAAAGAAATTAAAGCTTTAGTTTTTTTTATAAATAGATTTTACTTAGATTAATAAATAAAAAAGAAATTAATATTAATTCTTTTTTAATTAATTTAATTTAGAAATTTACTAAGATTTTAGTTTTAATCTAAATAGAATCACTTAGATATTATTCTATATTAATCAATTATATAAATAATTATATTAATAATTAATTATATAAATAATTATATTAATAATTAATTATAAAATACTTTTTTTAGAAGTTAAAGCTTATTTTAAATAAAAGTTTAAATAAAAATAATAAAAATAACTAATATATCTCTTTTTATTTATTCTAAATATTAAATAAATCAAATTCTAATAAATAGTTTTAAAGAATTTAGTATTTTAGTTAATTTTTTATTTTAAAATCTACTAGTTTAATTAGCTGACTCGGTAAGTAGAGTATTTTTAGATTAAATCTAATTTAAAATTAATAATTTAAATTTATAAAGTTTTTTAATTAAAAGATTTTAAAGCTTTTTTTTAAATATTTTAATTTATTATACTATTCTTTTATAATTTTAAAGATTATATAAAGCTTTTCGAAGGATTTAATTAGCTGTTTAATTATTAAATTAAATATTATTAAAAATTTAACTAATTATTTTTATTTAATAAAATATAGTCTATAAATTAGCTTAATTTAATAGATTAATATTTTATTAACTATTTTAAAAAGTTACTTTTTTTCTTTAAAAATAGTTTATTTTTTTCGGCTTTTTATCCTAATATAATATTATAATAAAATCTAAAAACAAAAATAATATTCTTTAATTTAAAAATTATACTATTTCTTTTTAGATAAGTAGAATTAAATATAATTATTTTATAACTTTAAATAATATTAAAGATATTTTTAATATATATCTAATTATTTTTTATTATATTATATTTAATAAATAGTTCTAATAAATTATATATATAATTATTAGAAGTAGTATTAAATATTTATTATTTTAATAGATTTTTTAATAAATTATCTAATTTAGAATTATATTAATATATTAATAAAATAAATTTAAATAAAGAATGCTTAGTTTATTAATTTTTAAAGATTTTTAAGATAATTAAAATTATTTAATATATTTAATAGACTTTTTTATAAATATATCTAAATTATAGATTTTTATAGACTTATTAAATTTAGTTTAATATATCTAAATTAAATAATTATATAGATTTTTAGAGATTCTTATGCGTATATTTAGAATTTTAAAAATTATAGTTTCTATTATTTTTTTCTGATTTATATAAATATATTAAATTATATAATTTTTTTAGGTTTTTATTTATTAATTTTTTTAGAAGTTTATTTATTTTAATTATTTTAACTTTAAAAATAATATAGCTTATTTAGACTAGTTTATTAATAGATTACTTATTTAAAAAATCTAGCCGAATCTAATTATATATTTTTTATATTAGTTTAAAAAATTTAGAAATTTCTTTCTAATTATTCTTCTTTTTAATAAGTTTAAATTACTATATTAAAATAAAAGTATTTATTATTTTATAAATTAATTTAAAAAAATTAGAAAGTATTCTAATTAATTTTTTTATTTTATTAATTTAAAATTCTATTATTTTAAAATATATTAATTCTTATTATTTAATATAGGTTTTAATAGGACTTTTTATTAAACTTTTTTAATAATAATACTAATTAATAAAATTTTATTTTTTTAATTAGTAAGTAGATATTAACTAGTTTTATAGAATTTAAAGAATTTAATAGAACTTTTTTAAATTAAATATAATATATTAGTTTTATTTATTTAATATAAGATAAATTAATAGACTTAAAAAAACTAGTTGTAATATAGTTTTATTAAATTTTTTAAGATTTTAATAATAGTTTTATCTTATTTTCTAATAAAAATACCAGTCTGATTTATTAAAATTAATTATTAAATTTACCGATTATTTTATTTATTTAATATTAATTATATTAAACTAAATTAAATAGATAGATTTATTTAGTAGTTTCAGATTTATTAATTTTTATATTTTTTTTATTAATTATAAATAGTTAAATTTAATTAATTTATAGAATCTAGTTATCTGACTAATTTAACTATAATATTTTATTAGATTATTAGATAATCTGATTATTTATATTAAATAAGTCTAACTATAGTTAGTTTAATAATTTAATTATTTATTTAATAAAAAGATATTAAATAAATTAAGATAAGAGAGATCTTTTAGACTTATAATTATTAAAATTTTAGTTTTTTTAAATAAGATTTAATTAACTTTTATTTTTCTATATAAATTATATATAAAAGTAAGATAAAATTAAAATTAAAATAAAAAATTATAAAATTAAAAAATTAAAGATTAAAAAAATAACAAAATAAATAGAATAACAAATTTAATATATAATTCTAATTAATAAAACTAAACTAAACTAAATAAAAATAATAGAAAATATTAGACTATTTAAACTATTTTTTTTATTTACTAATTTTTTAAATAGAAAACTAGAAATATTTAATAAATAGAAGTAAGAATATAGAAATAGAATAAATAAAATAGACTAGAATAATAACTCTTATTTAAATAGCTGAATTAAAAAGACTAGGGCTTAGGGTTTTAATACCCAGGTGACCTTCCAGTCTGACATAAATAATCTGTTTATACTATATATAAGACTTTTAAGCTAGTTTAAAACATACTTAATAT